TGGCTTTAGGGTTCGAAGAACGGAAGTACGAAGAGCTCAGCTATATGCTTCTTCCTCTTTTCCGCCGTGAAAATAAAGATAAATTCAGAACTTTTTAGTGACGAACAACATCCGCTTTGGGAGCTCAATATAAATATACTCCGGAATTTACACAAAATTTGAGCAAATTCTAATTTTGGTAGAATTAGAATTATGTCACACCACTACAAAGTTTTTTGGTATTTTGTCTTATCTCATAATTAATAATTCATTTAAATTTTTATCCTTTTATAATTTACTATACTAATAAGGGCCCAAAAAAATAACGGTCAAATTTTTCAATTTACTATACTAATAAGAGTCCAAATAAGTTAGGCCTATAATACCATAATGAATATAAAAAATGATGGTCAAATTTTTTAATCAAATAAATGGTTCAGATTAATTAAATTTTGAATTTTTCTTAAGATTTCATAATTGATCCTTAATGAATATGGTTATTTGTTAATTTTTTCGTTAAATATTATATTTTCCGTTAATTTTTGTTAGTTCACCATTAACTTATTGATTGATTTCAATAAGAAAGGTCTTAGGTTTGAACTCCTCCCAATTAAAATTGACATAATTAGTACTCTATTTTACTCTTATTAAATTATAAATAATAATTTAGTAGCTACAACAAAAAATAATACATATGTATTTTTTTAATTTAGAATTATGTGTCTATAATGTCTTTATTCAAAAAAATTATTCATTATCGATAAATTAAATAAGAACAGATACTACAATGTAATAGAGCTAGTAGCATTCAAAAAAAAAAATAAGAAAAATAATTTCATTAGTTATATTGTCTTTATTTTTCTCCAATATAAAAATTCTTTATTTAAATTCATCAATTGATTATATTCGCTACATTGTCCCTAATGTCTTTATTACAAAAAAAAAAAAAAATTAGTCATTATCAATAAATTAATTAAGATAAATAATTTTATTAGATATGTTGTCTTTATTTTTCTCCAATGTAAAAATATTTTACATTCAAATTCAGCAATTGATTATATCCACTGCATTGTCTATTATCTTTTTTGTGAATTATTTTTTAATTAAATATCAAAGTTATAATACAAAATAATACTGTATATTTATTTATCAAGTATTTATTAATACCATGAAAATTTTTAAAATATTAAAAATATAATTAATAAAGTCAATCATATTAATTACTTGAGGAATTTATTCACAAAGAGAGTAGAGCCGTCAAAATGGGCTTAGCCCGTCGGGCTTCCGCCCCGGCCACCAAAAGGGCATTGTGGGCTCGTGTTTTTTAAGCCCGTTTTAAAAACGAACCTTTTTGCCCGCACCCGCCAGCACGCCTTTTTTTTTTTAATAGTTATATATATATATATATATATATATATATATATATATATATAAATAATAGTGTCGGTTATACAATGATCGCGGTTATTACACCTTCATAACCGAATAGCTGAATAATCAATTTTTTTTTACCTTATAACATATAACCGAAATTATTGATCGGTTCAGTTATCGATTTTTCGATAATTATACTTACCCCTATTGGTGTCGTTGTTGTTATGATGTGATGAACGAATTTATGTTATTTTCTTATGAATAAGTGTTTTAAGTAGATAGCAATTAAGTTATTAACATAGTCACATTAGAACTTAGATTTTAGAAACACATGTGTAGACACAGAAAATTTGAAGCTGACAAGTGGACCGATTAAATCATTATTGAGCCCAATTTCGGAGTTGATCATTAGTCCAATTTAATTAATTGGGCTATGATAATTAAATTAATTTAATTAGTCCAAGTAAATTTGATTTGGGCTATTAAATTAATTAATTAATTGGTCCAAGTCCATTTCATAATTGAATTATAATTATAATTATAATTTAAATATAATATGATTTTATTATATTTGAATTAAATAATTATAATTTAATTTGAATTTGAATTAGATGATAGAATAATGAATTTAGACTTGATTTTGGTAAGGTTCATTTTAGTAGATAATTAATTAATTTAATTAAATAAATATTAGTGGAGTTTGTTGAGGGATTTTAGTTACAAACTTCACTATAAATAGAGCCTCAATTCCATTCTTCAAATCACACCTTAAATACATTGAGAACAACTTGAAGACTTGAGAGCTTGAAGGCATTGAAGAACACTTGACAATTTGAAGGCTTGAAGATTTGAGAGCTCTTTTGAAGGCATTTGAAGATCTTGAAGAATTAAAGACATTGAAGACATTTTTTGCAGGTTTTAAAGGATCTTGAAGCAACTTGAAGCCTTTTTAGTTGATTGCTTCGGAGCTTAACGTTTGCTGTTGAAGATCACGCCATTTGAATCCCGGAAGCTACGCCGTTTAAATCCCGGAGGCACGCGCCACTTGAATCCCGGAGGCTACGCTATTTGAATCCCGGAGACACTTCAATAGATAACGGCATTGAAGAACGCTTGAAGACTTGAAGGCATTTTTGTTGATTTTGCAGGCAATTTGAATCCATTGGTTGATTATTTCTAAATTCTTGACGTTCGTTGTTGAAAGTCACGCCAATTGGATCCCGAAAGCTACGCCATTTGAGTCCCGGAGGCACGCGCCAATTGAATCCCGGAGGCTACGCTACTTGAATCCCGGGGGCACTTCAGTAGATAACATTAGTGAAGAATCAGAGGACTAGACAGAGATTTTGTACCTGCATTGAATTATACACACGCTGTACACGAAATTTTATGAATATATACAAAGTTTACTTTTTTGTGTTTACAACATGATTAAAAAAAAAAAAAAAAAAAAACAAGTGGGCTTCAGCGGGGACGGGGCGGGATGCCCCTACCTAGGCCCGTATTCTTGGTGGACTTTTAGCCCGCCTCGCCAGCCCGCATTGACAGCTTTAAAAGAGAATATTCAAATCACACAACAAATTGAAGTGAGAACTATCTCTCAATATTTTTATTTGACAATCAGCAATTAGCGATTTTACTTTTTTTTTTTTTTTTAAATGTGGTCGCCAGCAACCAGCGACACCGATTTCTCCAGCGAAGGAAAAGGTAACCAGTGGCCTTCTTTTCGCTAGAGAGGTGTCGACGGCGATCAAATTTTTTTAAAAAATAAATAAATAAATAAAATCGTAAATAGGACTTGCATTTATGATCTGACATCAAATACATGTCCTAAACAAGTCATTTTCATATTTTTGTCCACAAATATAACCAATTACATTTTGAAAAATACATGTATCTTCCTTCACATTTAAGTCATTTTCCCTCCTCATATTGTAGGGTTTATATATACACCAACACAAACACCCTAGTCCCTCCGTTGGATTTGGTATTTCGTAATTTTTAGTTAAATACAAAAACTTAAAAAAAAAAAAAGTATAAATAAACATTGAGAGTAGGGCTAAAAATAATTTGTCCAAACAAAACTCCAATAACAATCTAATCTAAGGCTATAAGAGGTGTGGGGATGCATACATAAGTGTTCAAACATTCCCGACAAGAACATCCTTGTACGGAGTCGGAGCGGAAACCGGAGCTGCCGGCGCCGGTTGCCACTCCTCATGCGGCGGCCTTATTCTCCACCTCTGCTTCTCTGCCGCATCGTCTACAATAAGCGGCAATCCGCCTTCTCTTTCGTGCATCAATCGCTCATGCGCTCCGCCCCTCAGCTTCTCCAGCCTCATCATTCCACTCATCTGCTGTATGTTGAACACTTTCACCACGTTCGCTAAACCCCCCACAAATAGCACCGTGCTCCCGCATATCCCCACCCTCACCCACGTCCCCCCCTGCATTATATTGCAATCAATATCTAAAATCTTCATCTTAACTAGGGAATTGAAATGAAATTTATTCTAATTATTACCAGTAATGATCGGAAAGTATGGTATATGAGTGGAGAATGGTGGTGTTTGCCAGTGAGATTAAGAATTGCTCCCACCAGAAACAGCAAACTCCCGATCAGAAACGGAATGTGGATGCTTTGTTGCAGAATCTGCATATGCCCGCCGGCTCGCTCGTATATCTGACATGAATTCAGGATTGAACCCAGCACCCACAGTGTAGGCCCCGCAATCAACAGCCTTAAACCTTGATTCTCCAGTTCATAGTACCCATAATTCCCCTTTTCGTCCTGCATTTATTTCAATGCCGCCCAGAAAGCGATGAAGATATAAATTAAGGAAGACAGAGATGGAACAATCTATGAGAAATTTAAGGGAAAAAAGAACCTGGATGAAGAGGAAAAGGATTCCGAGGAAAGAGCAGAGGCAGCCGAGGATGTGAAGCAGCGGCGCGGCGAACTCGACGAGGGCGAGCTGCGTATCGTAGCCGAACAACGACAGCCGGAAATCGAAGCCGGCGAGGTGAGCCAAAAGATCGTGGAAATTCACTACGGCGATGAGCGCGAAAGCTATGAGCAAGAGAACTAGCCCCGATTTCGGCTCCCGCGACAGCTCCGCCGCGAAACCGCACAGCAGTACAATCGTGGAGAACACATACAAGCCGGCGTTCATGTATTCCGATCTGCTCCCCGATAACCCCGGCCCGTATACCCGGCACTCTCTCGCCGACGCTAATTTCACCATTTTTTCCGTCCGCGTTTCAAATAGATCCGGCAAATACTTCCTCGGAAAAAAATTTGATATGATTAATGGCGGATGTTCATGCAGTTCGTGTGCATCTGATAAAGGCCGGAAGATAAGGGAACGGAAAGCATAATATAATCCGACGTGATACGTGTCGTCCTGCATGGAGCCACGGAGCTACGTGGCATTCCGCCATGCATGAAACGTGGCAGCGTCAGATTCATCTTCACATCAAAATATTAAAACAATTTCAAATCTGCAAACTTAACATTCAAATTCTTGTATTTTTAATCTACTGCGAATCTATAATTAATGTGAATTACAAGTATTACAGTACTACTATGATATAATACCGGTAACTATAAACATATATATATATAATGATTAGTTAATATACAGGACATATATAATTTGTTGAGACATTTAGAAAATGTATCTGCGAAGGTAATCCACTCGAGCAGGATGCTTAAGCTTCATCAGAGCCTTCACTTCATGCTTCCTAACCATCTCTCTCGAAATGTTTAAATTTCCTGCAATTTCTCCCAGCGTTCTGTCGCCCTTTCCATCAAGACCGTATCTTTGTCTCATCACCAGACTTTCTTTCGGCTTCAGAGAATCAAGCTGTCAAAATATTTGACAGAACACATAGTTTAATTTGGTATCAGAGCAATATATAAATTGATATCAGAGCGATAAAAGTATAAAAGAAGTTACCACATCATCGAGGGCGAGTCTGAGAAGAGCGGGATGCTTGCGCTTATCGCCTTCAACATCATCCACATCAGTGATGCCGTCGATGAGCTCTTCCTGCGTTGTCTTGTGCTTTGCATTGAGGGATAAGACGGGCTTCGAAACTTTCATAACTTCGTGATATCTCTCCCGGGAGATTCCAACTCTTTCTGTCACCTCATTCTCTGTTGGCATCCTTTGTAGCTTCACCAGCAGCTCCATTTTCGCCTTCTGAATTTCCGCTCTCACCTGAATTGCATGTTTTCTTTATCTATTAGTATTTACTATTTACTGTGTTCTGTATGACTGTATATATCCATCATTCCCAGACAGACATTAATGTATGATTTTGTTTACAATGCAGCTTTATATAATTGCACGAAAATGGATGAAACTTAACAGTCATATGATCATACCGATTCAAGTCCAAAGGAGACCTTAGTGAAGCTGGAGAGAGTGATGGAGCGTATAATTGCGTGTCTGATCCAAAACAGGCCATATGTTGAGAGGCGGAACTTCCTTTTGGGTTCAAATCGATCAATGGCTGTTATAAGGCCCTTCACGCCTGCTTGGCACAGGTCTTGGAACCTCGGACTACTAGCAAAGTCTTGAAAATATTTGTTGACGACAAACATAACAAGGCGCAGATTGTGCTGCAAAAAAAAACACAAAAACATTATTACAAGCAGAGTTATGGATTTTTCCAAACCTTAAACTCGTGTAACAGTCAGATTTACATAACAATCAGACTTGAAAACGTACCTTGATCAATTTGTTTCTTGCAGCTTGCCCGACTTCTAATGTTTTCCTTAGCTGAACGACATCTATATTTGTTGCTTCAGCTATTTCGACATCAGTTGGTTCTCGTCCAAGATCGTTTTGCAGATTTTCCTTAACTTGAAAGATTGCCTAAATGTTGACAGCAAGAAAAACATCACTATATATGTAGCAAAACCTTAGCGTTTTGATCAATACAAATCCGTTTTTCCACTTACCTTCATAGGCTGCATTAGTTTAAAGAGCCAGGAATGCTCAGATGATGAAAGGACTGGTGGAATTTTCATCTTCTTCCAGTCTAAGGTCACTAAATTTGTACCGATAGAGTATTCTCTAACAAGCATATCGATCTTTTCATCATTAGTAGTTGCCTCCCTGTGCTGTTGTTTCTGGGATATCGAAGCAACCAACAATTCGCCTTCCTTTTTCCTTCTCAGCGTAATCCTCTTATCAAGACTCAATCGCTTAGCCTTCTTCTTCGGGTTCCTTATAATGTTTTCTTTCTCCGCTTCTTCATTGCCTTCTCCAATCCTCTTTCTCCTTCCTCGGCCTCTCTTCACAGTACGATCTCCAGTTTCTGGACTAGACTTGTACAGTTTCTCCAGTTTCGCAGCAGCTTCATTGTAATCCAATTCTATGGTGCTCGGGGAGGCTTCATCGGTGGAGATAACGCCACACACTCTACCTGCAGAAAGCTTCGACGAGGCTTGTCCAAGCCTCTTTTCATCGTCTTTTGAATACTGTATAAGTAAAGATTCAGATTCTTTTGGAGAAACTAAGGCTGCATTTTTGGTCTTATCGGTTTTGAATGATAATATGAATGGTCCTTTAAGCGGGCATAAACGAGCAGAAAATCTGTTGTTGAATCCTCTGAGACTACGCGCAGCAGAGCTGGAAACAGTCACAACTCCCATAGGTAGTAAGAAAAATATGCAATGAACAAAGGGCTCTCTTCAACCCTAGTATGTCCTGCCACAATAACGCCATTATTATCCCATTATGGCATGCAGATCAAGAAAGCCGAAAACTTTAACCCCAAATAATTATTGGGAGAGCTACTAAGATAGTATATTGATATAATCTTGACAAGAACATTTAAACTTCTCACAGCTCAACAATCAGCAAGCTCATAAACAAGAGAATTGAAGGGTGTGTTCCGTCTCAATTGAAAGATAGAATCTTTTGCCTGGTTCTATACCAAATTGAAAGAAATAGCCCATCACAACTACAAGTCTAATATTTTTTGTGACGAGGGAAACCAGCAACCACTACTGAGGGTGTGCACAAGATAATTAAATCTCAGCCTTGTGACCTTAACCAGCAAAGGACCACAATGAGGTAAATCAGTCTATGTGGCCTATAGCTGACCGGCTAAACCATAGCATATATATACATTTATATTTTATATAACAGAAAAGAGGACCCTAACAGGTTCATAAACTACACACAGGATTTGATAAGTGGAAAACATGAACTTAATTACCAAACAGAAACCCTTGATCTCCTAAACCCACTGCAACATCAAAAACCCTAACCTTAAATTCAGAATCCTAGTTCTCTTCATCTACTAAACCCCCATAGAAACAAGCAACAGAGCTCACCAAATTTAGTTTCTGGATATGATTCATCAGAAGCTTGCCTTTCAAAGCTTTGATCTTTTGGGTAATGCAACAAGTTATTCCCAGATCATATAGTAGAACACAGACTATATAGTACGATTCCTCAGCACATATTACATTTTTTTAGGCAATAATTCATGCGATATAAACAATTACACAGTACATAAATCACAGACAATAAGACAGCAAAGAAGAAGAACACCAACACATACCTGAAGAAATATATCGAGGAACGACAATTCAATGTGATTCCAGCGACGGAGATTCAAGATTCCGGTGAAGTTAACTTCCAGAGATTCTCACATGTAAAAGAGGTGTCCGAGAAAATATAATAAATATATATGGCCTCTAAATTTCGGTGGCCACAAGCATTTTTTTCTTGGAAAATCAACGGTCAGAGGTACGTCGAGCTTGATCAACGGCGTGTAACAGCCCACGTCGAGGCCAGAAAAAGAGCTCAGATGACGTGGAGGACGGCGCAGCAGAGAGATAGATTTTTTGCAGGAGGTAGTTTATGTATGGATATAGTCTTGACACGTGAAAAGGTATGATTGGATCATAGGCATTACCAAAAACATCGTGGGACCCGCATGTGGTTTTTTTTGTAGCGACGAAAAATGGGGGGTTTCCGGTGGTAGAAGGGGAGCTCACGTTGCCTAATGACAGCCATTTGAAATACAAATAAGATGTTTGGTTTGTTTGGGGCTTAATTGCTTGCTATATCATCTACAAAATTTCTTCAAAAATAAATTTTGATTTTGATCTCAATGAATATATGAACTCCGTATAAATTATAGTCTCATCAACTATTTTTTTAAAAAATAAAAATAAAAAATCAGCCAATGAAAAACTTGTGCAAGATTGAAGTTATCACGGCTGGAAATTATAGAATTTCGGACCACCTGAAAGTGATCTTAAATCCAATCGAAAGCAAAAAGTGGTCGGAAATAGCAACAAAGGTTTTTCCGGATACTAAAAGTGGTCGGAACAAGGCTTTCGACTTGATTTAAGATAACTTTCAGGTGGTCGGAAATTTCATAATTTTCAGTAGTGTATAATTATCAATTAATTATAGTTGGGTGGGAAAATTGGTGGTGGAGGTTGGAGAGGATCGGATAACCTGTCTGATACCAGATTGGAGAAATTACCTCAGATAGATTGCAACAGAAGATAGGATTACAGAGTATATCGATGAAAGAAACTCTAACTAATCCTAACTAATAGAAAAGGCTAAGTCAACTAATCTATCACCACTAGAATAGAAACTATACAATATAGAAATAATAATAATAATAATAAGATAGACTAACAGACGGCAATGACTTATCACTCTCGCACCAAATTATTGTTTGCAATAAAGGAGATGTAATAATTAGTATACTCGTATTTTCACCCGTGCGATGCACGTAATGGAATTTTTGTAATATATTAAGAATATTTAAATCGATATATAATTATTTAAGAGTTAACTTCACCAGAGGTCGCTTATTTTTCGTGACAATTCCAAATTTAATCCTAGAATATAGTTGTTAATTATTACGATTTATTCTATGTTATAATTCTTACGTTAATATTCTTACTATTATTATTAACACTTAATTACTTTTAGATATTATTTTTATCACTTATATTATTATTATTATTATTATTATTATTATTATTATTATTATTATTATTAGTTTGTTTTCAAGTTTTGTTAGTATATAATGGCCGTGAGGCACACAATAATAATATAACCATAATTAAATATTCTTGTACTGTATTCCGTGAGTCACAATAATAATATAACAATAATAATAAAATATACTTCAATTCTATATTCTTCTAGGATTTCTATTACCATCATTAATTATTCCCTAATTTACCATAATTAAATAAATTGACAAATTATAAAGAGAGATTATTAAATAATGCACGGGACAATTTTTTAATTAAAAAATTAAAAAAATCATTAATGAAACATAAGGTTCTCATATTTTTTTCTTAGAAACTATTTAATAAAGCATCTTTTTTATATAAATTGGTGGACCAAACCGCCTACGGCAGTTTGCAGTGGATAGATCTCAAAAAAATACGCGATTTCAAAATTATTTTGTCCAAAACGGAAAACCGAGTCAAAAGTTATGCCTTGCCGAACTTTTAACACTTCCCAACTTTAACCCAAAATTATTGTACGAAAGGGAAAGTAGAAATCAATATATTTTATTGGGAAGATAGAATTTTTAGGAATTGGGCGGGAAATCAAAATTTCAGGATTTTGTTATCATATATAGTATAGATTGTGCAAAGGGATTTGTATTACACTATTTTATAATGTTAGAATAGAATTTTTACCCAGAATTATTGTACTAATGGGAAAGTAGAAATCAATATATTTTATTGGGAAGAGAGAATTTCTAGGAATTGGACGGTAAGTTAAAATTTCATGATTTTGTTATTATATATAGTATAGAAGTATAGATTGTGCAAAGGGATTTTGTATTACACTATTTTATAATTTTATAATTTTATAATAGAATTTTTACCCATAATTATTGTACGAATGCAGAAGTAGAAATCAATATATTTTATTGGGAAGAGAGAATTTTTAGGAATTGGGCAGGAAGTTAAAATTTCAGGATTTTGTTATTATATATAGTATAGATAGATTAAAAAGGGAATTGTATTACACTATTTTATAATTTTAGAATAGAATTTTTACCCAGAATTATTGTACAAATGGGAAAATAGAAATCAATATATTTTATTGGGAAGAGAGAATTTTTAGGAATTGGGCGGGAAGTTAAAATTTCAGGATTTTGTTATTATATATAGTATAGATTGTGCAAAGGGAATTGTATTACACTATTTTATAATTTTAGAATAGAATTTTTACCCAGAATTATTGTACGAATGGGGAAGTAGAAATCAATATATTTTATTGGGAAGATAGAATTTTTAGGAATTGGACAGGAAGTTAAAATTTCAGGATTTTGTTATTATATATAGTATAGATAGATTAAAAAGGGAATTGTATTACACTATTTTATAATTTTAGAATAGAATTTTTACCCAGAATTATTGTACGAATGGGGAAGTAGAAATCAATATATTTTATTGGGAAGAGAGAATTTTTAGGAATTGGACAGGAAGTTAAAATTTCAGGATTTTGTTATTATATATAGTATAGATAGATTAAAAAGGGAATTGTATTACACTATTTTATAATTTTAGAATAGAATTTTTACCCAGAATTATTGTACGAATAGGAAAATAGAAATCAATATATTTTATTGGGAAGAAAGAATTTTTAAGAATTGGGCGGGAAGTTAAAATTTCAGGATTTTGTTATTATATATAGTATAGATTTACTACACTTAGCTTTATTTTCATTACTCTTACCTATATATATCAAGGGTTTTGTCTAAACTGAAAATATATCTATTATAATTGCATTAGCAATCCGCTTACTAATTGTTTTAAATTGTTAGGCATTGTTAAATTCAATTTCAATTAATGAAAATTTAATGTAGTTATCCAATAATTTTGATTCAATGTTTGATTGAACAACAACAACAATATATAATACTCCATAATTAATACGTTGCATAATTGATTTGTAGTTGATATTTGTTACAATTTCAGTAAATGCAATAATCAATGAAGAAATGAAGGCGTGTTTAGTGTGAAAATAAAATTTTATTTTTCACCATTTTTTTTCATTATTTTTAATTCTCTAATGCCCAAACCAAGTTGAAGATCAGATTAGAAAAAAAGAGAGTCAAACCATTACATACTACTCATCCACCTATATATACCCTTTAAAAATTAAAGAATATTAAAAAAAAAAATTAAATTCCATATTCTCCATTCTCCAACTTCCAGGAAAATGGACAGTAATTTTCCATTGATAAAGTATATATTTTAAACATTAATACCAACTCAAAATTTCAATTATTTTTTTCTAAAAAATAAATTAGAAAATTAGAATTTTTTGTTTTCATGTAGAAAAATAATTTAACTTATTAACTCTGCAGTTTGAGATAGTAAATAAATAAATTATTAATACAATTGCAAAATTGGCACGACTAGAGTTGAATTTGGATTAGTTTTATAATAGCAATAATACAATATGTCATTTAAAAAAGTGTTCAAGAGTTTCAAAAATTTTTATTTTACTGTTTTTTTTTTTTTTAACATGCATACAACATACCCTAACATGGCGTTTGGTTGGAGGGATTTTAAATTCCCTTCCCACTTAATTCCCACCTAATTCTAAAGGCCATTAAATTCCGTAGTTTGGTTTGAGGGAATTGCAATTCCATGGAATTGCAATTCCCCCATTTTCATGGAATTAAAATCCCATGTCCCCCCCGGTATTTTAATTCCTGGGAAAAAAAGATAGTGCTGAGTTAAAATTACCCCTTCATTTTTTAACCTAAAATAAATGTCTAACAACAATAATGAACATTTTTGACTTTATACTACTTATTCCCTTTCAATTCCCATGTATATCAAACATTGGAATTGAAATTCCCAGTAATTCTATTCCTGTCAACCAAACACTGAAATTTAAATTCCCACTTTATTCCCAGTAATTCAACTCCCATGGAATTACAATTCATTTCCCACATAATTCCCCCCTCCAACCAAACGCCATGTAATAGTTTCAACATAAAGAGTACAAATTCAAACCTGCTTTGAGAAACCCCAACTCGCATCGACTATGCCGTAATTATTAAATTGGTCTTCAACTATCAATTTTGACTAATTAAATTCTCAACTATTGATTTCGTATTCGATTTGGTCCGGCATCAAACTGAGCGAGAATCAATTGATAATTACGAAGGAGCAAATAAGTTACGAAATCAATATTTGATGATTTAATTGGTCAAAATTGATAATCGAGAACTAATTTGGTAATTACGACATAGTCAAAGGACCAAAACAGTCATTAATTCGTTTCAATATCATCATCAAGACAAGATTGCTTATATTCTTTATTTTATGAGTGTAACTAGTCTCGTTTGTTTAGAATGTTATGCACGTATGGGCAGCTCAATTAGTCATAGAAGTGAAGTTTGGGAACAGTGATCTAGGATCGGGTTTCACCCGTGGCAGTGTGAGAGCAACCTCTTAAAGTAAGGGGGCTCCTTGTGCGCACAATAAGCAAAGGTTTAACCTCTGTGTTCAACTGAGTTACCATGATTTACATCCTCCTAGATGCTCTATCAAGTCAGAGTGTGGGGGTCTTGGGATTAGGTATTCAATCTTTTTGGAACAATGTTTACAATGTTATATCTAATTTTTATTAATTAATACATTATATTATACTCATAAATTTCATGGGGAAAAAAAATCTATTTTGTATGCATGCACTTGCCACTTGGAATTTGGAATGGTCTTAGTTACCCGCCAGCATTAATATAATTAACGTCCGCAAAGCAAACAATTGCGGCCGAATGCTAAATATTCCACGTTCATTCCGACCACCCT